AGATTTCCTATTTTACAATGGGTAATTTTTCGTTATGTTCAATATATAATTAATATGAAAAAAAAAACATAAAGGCAAATACTGTTATGGTTTTTTCATACAAATTATACATTGAACATAACAGTAATTACCCGTTATATTCAATGTATAATTCGTATGAAAAAAACATTACGTTATTTGCCTTTATGTTTTTTTCATACAAATTATACATTGAACATAAAGGCAAATACTGTTATGGTTTTTTCATACAAATTATACATTGAACATAACAGTAATTACCCGTTATGTTCAATGTATAATTTGTATGAAAAAAACATAACGTTATTTGCCTTAATGTTTTTTTCATACAAATTATACATTGAACATAACAGTAATTACCCATTATGTTCAATGTATAATTCGTATGAAAAAAACATAACAGTATTTGCCTTTATGTTTTTTTCATACAAATTATACATTGAACAGTAATTACCTATTATAAAATAGGAAATCCAGTGTTATGTTTTTTAAAAATATAACAGGTATTTTTTTTTACTGTGTATGTTAAATACATCATTTTTTTTAATAAAGTTTTATCTGCTGGTAAAAAGAACATGGAAACCAAAACCAAAATGGTGGTGCATACTGTACACGGCTGTTTCACTCAATACAAAAGCGAGCTTGACGTCACAAGAATTTTTGTGTTTAAAAAAAAAAAAAGAATTTCCACATAAAAAGTATAAAAATTCATTTATATATAATAAAATATTAAATTAATAGTATTTTTTTTCTATAAACGCTTTCATCTTTAAATTAAAAAAATATAAAAGAACAATCTTTCTTAGTTAAATAAACATTTACATTAAACGAAATAAAAATAAACATTGTTAAAATATTTTTAATGATTTCGGATCACTTTTCTGTTTTTGGCTATTTTTATGGAAAATCTGTCTTGGGCCAACTAAGATTTGCTAACATAGCTACATGGTTGATGGTCGAAATTTGAAACACTTATCAATGAATGTCTATTCTATCAGATTCCTACGTCATCCAGGTGATTTTTCTACTATAAATTAATTTTTAATACATTTAAACTTTTAAATTTATCTCTTTTAAATGTATAGTATAATTTTTTTGATGGATGACATAAGTTATTAAAATTGCAACCTTTTTTACAGATGAAAATATATAAATTATTTTATGTACCTCTTGCCTTGTTAGCAAATGTTTTTAAACTTGGCAAGTTTTACTACAAATCGTTTTAGTTTTACGCTGTTGACATTTCTAAGCGATTATGTAAACTTTATTGCATTACTTCCCGAGCTGTTTACTAAAGATTTTTATTGAAATATCTGTTTTGGCGAGACAAATTTTGGAGGTATAAAATAAACTAAATTACGTAACCTAACACCATATTTTTAAAACCGTATGCATATAAAGAAAGAAATTGCTTTTTAAAAATCTTAAACTTAAAATGCAAAGACTAAATATTTCAATTTCGAAATCTGGCTCTAATTTGTAATGCATTGAATTTATTAACTTAGTGAATTATTTTCATATTTAAAATATACTCATTTAACAGCTAATCCTCCTTTAAACAACATTTTTCATAATTTTGAAAAAAAAATGCGGTTTGCTTGCAGACTTCAATAAAAACTGTTTTAGTTAATCTTTAACAAATAAGTAATGTTTTTTTATTTTAATAATAGTCAAACAAGGAGTATTTGATAATAACTATCAGAAATATATTTTTCTAATTTTTTTTTTGATAAAAAGTAACTAAAATTTAGCCAAGATCATCATTTGTCGCGTTTTTTCTTAACTAAAATAAGTTTTTTTATTATTTTATTAAATGTCATATGATGAAACATTTTATTAAAAAAAATTGAGTTTTATCTGAATTAAAGTTCACCAGCCACTGTGAGCCCCATACTGTAGCAGAAGTGAGATCCTTTTCAAGCTCAAATGCCCCCTGCTAGCAATCAGAGGGAGTTGGCTTCTTATCGTGACAAGAATAAATGGTAGTATCATCAGCGAACAATGCCACCTTAGATGTGAGAATATCTAGAAGATCGTTAATGTAGAGTATAGGGCCAAGGATTGAACCTTGAGGAACCCCTGAGGTTACAGAATAAGAGGAAGAGTGCTGTCCATCAAGGACAACTTTTATACTACGATTGGAAAGAAAGGATTCAATAATCTTAAAGATATTTTTAGATACACCGTAAAAAGAAAGCTTATGGAGAAAACCAGCATGCCAAACTTTATCAAACGCTTTAGAAATGTCAAGAGCAATGGCCTTAACCTCTGACCTTTATATAATGCACGATAAAACCTATCGGTTGTTACTGTTAGCAAATCAGCTGTAGAACAAGAAGATCAAAATCTATATTGATGATCAGAAAGTAGATTATGAGATTCAAGATGAGAGATTAAGTGTTTGTTAATTAAAGATTCAAAAACCTTGCTTATGATAGGAAGAAGACTAATGGGACAGTAGTTAGATGAATCGGATCGCTCTCCAGAATTTTTAAAACTAGGGATAACAGATGCTGCTTTCCAGCAGGCTGGAAAACAAGACTCTGATAAGCACTTGTTAAATAGTTTTAAAAGGATAGACGACAGCTCCGGAGAATACTTCTGCAAGACTATAACAGGTATGTTGTCAGGGCCGCAAGCTGCAGAAGAGTCTAAGCAGGAAATCACTTTAGATACAGAAGCACTGAGTAACCTGTTTGATGGCTTTATCAGGTAGAGCGCAACTAGTAGAGTCAAGAGATTATTTTGATGAAAACTTCTTAGCAAACAATTCAGCTTTGTCTTTAGGTGAGGTGACAAAGTCTGAACCATACAAAAGAGGTGGAATTACAGACTTGCCCTTATTATTGATACTATTAAAGATTCTCCAAAAGTCAAAAGAGAGCCTAACTTTTGTGATGAAATACGAGATTTCATGATCTGAGAATGACGGGCTTTGGCGTTAGAAAAAACCTTTTTACAATGGTTCCTAGCAGTAATAAACAGACGTCTGTTTTCTGTAGAATTATTTTGCTGATAGATATGAAAGTAATAGTTTCGATTGGCAATTGCAGCAGCACAATGCGAGGAAAACCATGGAGAAGAGTGAGGCTTGACCTGGAATCGTCGAGAGGGAATAAAGGATTCCATGCCAGCCTGAATCCACAAAGTTATATAAGAAGCACATTTGTCAATAGGAAGACAAAAGATTTCTACCCAGGGGCCATCACGAAGAAAATCACAGAAAGAGTCCCAGTCAGCTTTAAGGTAGTTGTAAGATGTACGATGATAGGGGGATTCTGATGATAAAGAAAAATGAGATAATAGTTTTTGAGAGACCAAACCATGATCAGAAGCACCTAAGGGTGAATGTGAAAAAACTGAGCACTGACTAGGATTAGAAACAAGACATAAGTCGAGTAGAGAAGGTAAATGATTCGAGTTATCTGGAAAGCGAGTTGGAAAGTTGACTATTTGAATTAGGGATTGAGAAAGGCAAAAGTTGTGGGCCTTAATGCCTGCAGAGTCACTGACACTAGAGCCAAGCCATTCAGTGTGATGAACATTAAAGTCACCGACAACAACAATATTGGCTGATGGATAAAGAGAGAGAGCTTGGTCAATATAATCAGAATTATCATCAAGAAGGATGCAGTCTTGAGATGAAGGAGAGCGATACAGAACAAAGAGAAAGGTGATAGAGTGAAGTGGTGCTAAACGAAAGCACATAAAAGAGTAGTCTGTGGATTCAAACCTAGTTTCCCGACAAATGGGTGAATTCTTACAAATGTAAATGCCCAGGCCAAGCATGTGACTATATTGGAGTCTTTACGAATTAAAGGAAGATAACCATCAACCTAAGATCACAAGATGAGACAGCTGAACTCAAATTGGTCTCACAAAGAGCAAGTAGGTCTGGTGAACTTTGCAAGAGACAAGACTCAACAGAAGAAAAGTTACTTTGAAAGACCACGAATATTAGTGAATGATAGGTTTAGCAAACTTGGTGATGACTGTGGTTTTTTGTGTTTTATAGTTTTTGTTACTTTATTTATTTTTAAATTTGTTAAAGAACTTGACTCGAAACATAAATAGTACTCAGTACACTGTTTTATAGCCCAAGCAATTGCCTCATTTCTATTAATAATTATTTTAATACATTATTAGTGCAAAGTTAATAATCTGCTCTACCCATTTTACCCCGGTCAATCATATGCATTTTTAAAACATATATAAGTGTTTTATAAAAATTTTATGATTTTTGAAAATTTAAAACAGAAATAGCTGTTTTTTAAAAAGTACTGTCTTTGAAAAACTCTATTTGAAATATTTTGTTATTACAAAATTACAAACTTGTTTCTCCGCACCATGGCCTTGCATGTCAAGGTTTGTGTTTGGGAGTTATAGAGTTATAACCACAAGAGAATAGAGTTAAAACTTTTAATCACAGAGAGGGTTATAACCATAACCAAGTAGTCTCCTCGTCTGTAGTGGCCTTCTTAGCCTTAGGGAGGTTAATTAACAAAAAAAAAAAAAAAAAAATTACTGATGGCACAAAGAACTCAGTTTAAAAATTATTTTTTAAATTACTACGTCATACGGCCATAGTTCCTTACTTGTGTGATTTAGACATTTTCCATACGGCCAATTTTTTATTTAAGTAGAAAATTTGAAAGTTTAACCAATTGACAATAAAATGACCTTCCTGTAGTTAACCTGTTTTGCAGATCAGGACTCGGTATTTTTATTTAACTCTTTGAAGATTACCAGATTTAAAAATAGCAATCAAATTTAAATACATTTTAAAAATTGCCATGTAATTTAAAACCTAGTTAAAACATTTTGTAGAATACTATCATCTTGTTATCATTTTTTACCAAAACATAATAAAAAACTACAATTGTGATAGTAGTTTTTTTATTTTGTAGATTTGGAAAAAAATTTTTTACAAAAAATTTGTATTAAAACCAATAATATATAATTAACATAATTTTTAAACGTACCTGTCAGTACATTCTTGTTTCAGCTCACTATAAACAACACCAGCAAAATAAGTATTGGAAAAATGGGTATTCACTAAACCTGGAAGCAATTGATTTTCAGATATGTATGTTTTTGGACTAAGATCTTGATGAGCTAGCATAAACAACCATATAACAGCAATTGAAAAGCTTAAAATGCTAAACAAAAACCAATAAAATTTAAAAATAAGGTTTAAACACACTATGAAAACATTTTTAAAAAGAAAATGCAAAAGAGTTTATAGCTATTATGAGAAAATGAGAAAATGTGAAAGTTCTTGTTAAAAACTGTATAACTATATGACTATATAAAATTTTGGAATTAAACAAACCTTGAGTATTCTACTAACCCCAAAACATAAGTATCAACACATAGTTTTCAAGAAATAAATGATTATGTGAACAAAATGACTGTTGTCACAATAGCATATTTTTAAAATTTTAGTTTAGAATAATTAATATTTTTAAACAATATTTGTCTTCTGTTTAAACCTCTAGTGCAGTGTTGACTTACCTGTAAGTTACTATCTGTGTGTTTGTGTTCTGTCTGAACCTCTAACACGGTGTTCACTCACTTGTAAATTATGATATTTGGGTTTGTGTTCTCTCTGAACCTCACGTGCTGTGTTCATTAACTCGTAAATTATTTTATGCATGTTTGTGTTCGATTTAAATCTTTGATGCAGTATGAGCTCAGTAAGTAACTATTTACAATACTATAAAACTTATGCTCATCTTAGTCACTAGTATTTTGTTAGGTGCAGTATTATTCCAAACACATTTCCAAAATGTCATGTCTAATGTTTTAAGGTACTGTTTGCCGAAAGTAACTCTTTTTAACTACACAAAGGTCAAATTCAGTATCATCACGATCAACCTGCTACTAGTATCATGTAACCCAGTAGTACCTGCCCCATGCCCTGCTGCCTTGCAGTGTGTGATTTTTTAGGCAAAGGCTAGGAGAAACAAACTCTGACTTAAAAATACCCTGCCTTGGGGATACTGGTTGAGTAAAGGCTAAGGATGGTGTTTGATAAAAATACTCATCTTGGGCAGATGTTAACTGCAACCAGCTACTGTCTTGTAGAAGGCCTCCTAGGCAAAACCTTTAGAGGCAAGCAGAATAACTCTGCTAACCAGTCTCAAACTCCTTCTTCATTTATTAGGCTGGCATAAATGTAGCCCTATGTTACATTATTTCCTGCCAAAGATGATGAATGCTGTACCTTTTTGAATTATTATCCTTCTTACCAAGACTGCACTCTTTAAGATTTAAATTTTGATTAAATCGACCATGTTTTCTTTCTCTTTACCCCTCTGACAATATTGTTGTTATTGGTGATTTTAATACTCATCACACTGAATGGCTTGGCTCTAACACCAATGACACTACTGGCACTAAAACTTATAACTTCTGCATTTCTCAATCTCTTACACAGATAATTATTTTTTTGACTCATTCTCCTGACACCCTAATCTTTTATCTTCACTTCTTGATTTATGTCTTCTCTCTGACCCTAGTTTGTGTTCAGTTTTTCCTTTTTCTCCCTTTGGTGGTTCTAACAATGAAATGATCTCTATAAATCTTTCACCTCGTACTTCTTCTTCAGACTCACCCTATTATAACGCTAATTACTACTACCTCAAAGCTGACTGGAATTCATTTTGTGATTTTCTTTGTGAGACAGTCCTCAGGTTGATGTCTTTTCTTTCTCTGCTGATAAATAGACCTCCTAAGTAACCTCCTGGATTCAGACAGGAATGGAAGCTTTTATTTCTTTTTGTTGGCTCCAAATCAAGACTCGATCTTCTCCATAGTTTTCACCTTCTTGTGCAGCTACTGTACCTAATCATAATCATTTTTTTCATCTTTATCAAAAGAACAACTCTCTTGAGAACAAATGGCTATTTAATATTGCAAAAAATCAATGTAAAAAGGTGCTGTCTGTTGTTAAGCTCCATTAATCTCAGTTTACAAAATCTCACAACTTATTTGAGAAGTTTGGCTCTAGAAACTATTGGAAAATCTTAAATAGCGTCATTAACAAGGGTAGGTCTAACATTCTCTCATTCATGAGACTGATCTTATTACCTCTCCCAAGGATAAGGCAGAACTATTTGCAACTATTCTTTTAATTCGACTCTTGAATCTAATATTTTATGGCAATTCTCTTCTTCCCATTCAAATTAAATAAGTTAACTTATTGTTAGACATTCAAATTACTCAGTTTCCATTGCTAAAGTCATATCTCAATTAAACTCTTCTACGGCTTGTGATCCACACAGCATTCTAGTCACAGTCTTATAAAATTGTTCTCCAGAACTCTCTTTAATTCTCTCTAAACAATTTAATAAGTGCTTGACTGAGTCTTATTTTCCTGCCTGCTGGAAAATGGTATCTGTTGTTCAAATTTTCAAAAACTCCGGAGAATATTCTGACCACTCCACTTATCATCCAATCAGACTTCTTTCTATTATTAGCAAGGTCTTTGAGTCTTTGATAAACAAATTTGTCACATCCATTTTGAGTCAAATAACTGTCAGACAATCAATACAGACTCTAATCCTCTTGCTGTATGGCTGCCTTGCTAACTACTGTAATTGAAAGATTTTATTGTGCATTAGAAGGAGGTAGTGAGGCTTAGGACTATTGCTCTCAACATATCTAAAGCTTTCGACAAAGTTTGGCATGCTGGTCTTTTCCATAATCTTGTTTCATCTGGGAAAG